CTGCCTTAAGTAATAGTTCAACATCAGCTACATGTTTGGAGTAGAAGGATAATGAAGCTAAAGCTATTTAAAATAAATTTCTGAATTGCTGAGGGGAAAATACAGACAGTAGGTTTCACTCCAGAAACACACTGAATTACATCATTTAAGCATCTGATCCAGATGCCTTTCTTTTTTTTACCAATTAAACTCTGTTGAGCTATACCAGAGGAGGTCAGACCCACCATATTTTGAAATTCAAAAAGAACAATATGCATTTGATGGAGACCAGCTACATTGGAGGGCGCATCAGTGCTACTAGGATAAGGTAGACTTCCATTTAAACTTTGTAGGGATGAAATCCATTCTTCTCAAGGAAGAGCTGTACAAGGCAGATAAAAAATAGTTTTTAATAGGATTTTAGTGGTATTTTGAGGTTTGTGCTGGTTCCCTGCATGAGTGACTTTTATTTTATAGATATTAAAACTCGATAATGGTTCAGGGAAAGGATATCTTCCATCTATTTTAGCCAGTAAACCTGGAAAACTACTCCAGCTGAACATTTTGTCTAGCTGAAACTGCAATTGGGTAACCTGAACACATACTGCCTTCTGAGACTGCAATGGCTAAACATACACAAGGTACAAAAGGAAGGAGGAAATGCAGTACATTGCTATGTAAAAATGCCATACCCTTCCTTCCAGTATGTGTCCAGCACCTCACTGACAGCTTTTGTGGGCAGCTAACATATAGTAGAGAGGACTGGCATTAATAAACTTAAAATCTATTACAGTTCACTGGCCTTAGTTATCTTTCTTAGTACTAATAACCTGCACTGGCAATGTGTAACAGCTCAAAATTACTAGATAAAGCTTGTATGTTGCCCAGTGTTCAGTGTAGCATACATATCCCTTCACTGCAGTCCAAGAAGAAAGGAGTTAGTGATAGATGCTAGCTGGGAGGGAGAAGGGAGGAATGTATAGAGCAGAGGAAAGCTTTTGGTTCAGATAGTGCTAAACATATGATATGCCTAGTTTTAATTGCGTAAGTGATCTCCTAAATGTCAATGTTTAATCAAAGCACTCGTACAAGTGCTTTGCTGAACTACAGCCCAAGTCCTGTAGCTGGAAGGGCAACAATTCATGCCTTAATTGCACAAAATCCGTTCCTAAGGAGGACCAAAATGATGGCCATGACATACACATATAGAAAGTCCGCAGAGGAATTTCAGTCATGGTCACAACTTTTGCCTGAAAACAGACGATTGGCAAAGGAGGTAGGTATGAGTCTTCTTTGGTAACCAAACAGGAGATAAAAAAGACTGTCAGTGTACAATGTGTGGTAATTTATAAAGCTATTCGAGCAGTAGCTGCTAGATTACGAATTACCAAACCGGCAGCTTCCAGTCTCCTCCTCTTATTTTTCTGCCTTGCATATCAGGTTTCTTATAAGAAATGGTAAAATGTCAATATTAAATTTAGAGTCTCAAGCCTAGAAACAGGCTGGCAAAAAAAAAGCTGATGAGAGACCTGTGAACTTCCTTAGCCGTATTCCAGTTTAAACTTCAGCGCATCTCCCCCAGTTCATTTTCTAGAGACGGTGACCCTGTAAACAGCGGGTGCTTTTTGAGCTTTTCAACTCTGGAAGCTTCTTAAGGACGTGGAGCTTGTGTCAGACAGACAGAGAGACAGTTCCAGCTATGTGCAAGCACCAGCCAAGTTGTTTAGCCATGTCACTGGGAATGAGTGACTGCCAAAGGAAAGCTGCAATCTGAGCTCATGTGGGAACTGGATATAAAAGGAAACAGCCCTTTCCCGGTTCCCACCTCCCACAGGTTTCCAACCTCTCTACTATTCACATGCCCTTCCCTTCAGCTGATATACTATGCCGACAACTACAGCAGTAGACATCAAACCCAAAAATCATCAGTATAGCATTTCAAGAGACACAAACAAAAAAAAAAAAAAAAGAAAAAGGCAGAAAGAAATATGAAAACCTAGGGAAAGGGAAAGGTGTGGGGAAGACATTTCTTCTGCACTTTTATTCACTCATTTTGGCTCCAGACTCTTTCTTAGACACAGTTTCCCTTCAGCAGGTGCAGAGCCAAACTCTCTTTCTAAAACAAATTCATTAATTTCTAGTGTAAAGAATATACCTTATTTTGTGCAAATGCAATATCCACTTTTTCCTTCTTCAGGGAATATACATGGCATATACTTTTTCAAATAGATAAAAATCTATTGAGAGATATTTTAGATGCAAATGTTATACATGTAGTAAAAACTGGCATGCAAGCAAGCCAATATTAACCGGAATTCTCTGTATCTCGAGTTGCTTTCAAGAATAAGGTGGTCAACACAGACTAGAAGAAATTCAATGTTTTTTTCTCACAGTCAGACTCAGGCTGCCCTGGGCTCTTCATCTGGACATCAGCTAACTTACCCAACTGATCCTAGCAGAAAGAGGCACACGTTAAATGAGACACCTACCGCTGTCGACCCCGAGGATGTGGCTACAAAGACTTTGATCACCATCTTGACAGCGATAAAAATGAATCAGCAGAACACGCCTGCTATCGACAAGTCACCAGAGCCCGGAGGCGAATCCAGGCATGCAGCAGCGCCTGGGCTAACCTGGATCCTAAATGATTCCCCCCACAGCTATCTGCCAGCTTTGGCCTCTCCCACTCCCTGGGGTCCCGGGTTTCCCCACTCCATTGGCTCTTAGGTATTTCGGGACCAGGGGCCAGCAGAGGATTGGTTAGTAAGAGGATCCATAGCAGGGGACTTGCACCTGCCCCTGGCCTTATGGCATTAGATTGACGGGGTGGCAGTCCATAAAAGGCAAAGGAGAGTAGTGCACCAATGAGGCAGGGCTGGAGAAATGTTTGGGAGAGGGGGAAGGGAGAAGGGAGGCAGGAGAGGGAACTCGGTGCTGGGGGAGATCAAACAACTGTAATGTTTAAGGTCACGTTGATGCTGTCACAGCTACCCCCTGCATAATAGGGCTCACCCCCGTTCCCTGACCACAGTCAAGTGGCTTCAGAGTCGCAGCTGCAAATTTCACTTTAAAAAGTGTGTGGAGGGATAAGCCTATGTGCAGAAGCAGTGATAGCACAGATCATATTGAAATAAGCCTCAGTTACCAGCGCTGGCAGCTTTCAAAAGCTCCGATCACGATCCAAACTGCATAGCTCAGGCACTTCTCTGAAAGAAGTGTCCGTACGTTTTCTACAACTAGGGAGGGTGATTTCGCTGATTCCATGTGTCCAGAACCTAATATTGGATTTTCTCCCTCTTTCTGCATGACCAGCAACAATTCCCAGGGTGCATGGTATAAGAGAGGTCCAGGATTCTTGGTAAAAATTATTCCGTTCCTCTGTGTCGTCAAGGATGCTCTTTTTCCATCTGGCTGTTGCCTTCTGTCCCAGAGACGGTCACAGTTCAGTGCCTGCCTGTGCATATTTGTTTAAGGTGGTCTTTGAGTGTGAGAGGTATTTTAAGAATGTTAACTGTTATCAGATTGCCTTCAAATTTGAAGGGCCAAGTTCATTTCTGTCCCGAGTGAGCAACATGCCACAGAGTTCAGTGAAACTGAACCTATGTCAGAACTGAAACTGGCCTAGGCTCTGCAAGGTGTTTACACACATAGTAAATGTTAAGACCGAACATCACAGTGTCCACTCCTGAAAATACTTAAACTGGAACGTAGCGCTTTCTAAGAGCAACTAGACAGAGCTGAATGTACAACAGTAATGCTGATCTGATAATAAGCTTTTTGTCTGTTTGAACTATTATATGAAATGGAAAATGCAGTATTGAACTACTATATGGAACTAGTATACTGCTGGAAATGCAGCATTCAGTGAATTGAACAGGGATCCTGAAAAACCTCACTGGAAACTAAAAATAACAGTAGGGATACTTTGCACAGTTTACTATGGCTCACTATCTGCCATTTCTTCTTCTGTGAGGCAATAGGAGGTCCAGCAAAAAGAAAAGTCAGATAAATTCATGTATTTTTGCCATTTTTTTCCTGTAAAACAAAATAAGTAAGTTAGTCTGAAAACATAAATTCATGCCAAAAATTTATTCTATTTGCTTGTTTCTCAGGAGAATTGGTATATAAGTATGTACCACTCTGAATTCAACAAAAATGACTAGCCATTTGGAAAATACTCTTTCTTTTTTGCTAACGCTCTGAAGAATTGTAAGCAAAGGATGCTGCAGCCATTTACCTCGAAGCACACTGGTAACCGTTACAAAGTACAGCAACACTAAAAATTAACACGCAGAGTGGTAAATATTTTCACAGGCAAACCCTTTTGGTCAGGACTGGGACAAAATCGCCCAACAATACTTTCTCTTGTTCTGTTTTAAACCTGACACTCCTATTGAGTACATAGGGTGAAAACAGGCCGTGGCTCCAAGCCCCGTCCGCAGGCATCTTGGCAAGGTAAGGATTTTAGAGCACGATTCTCGATGTGAAATAAAAAAAACCCCACAGTTTCAGTTGTTATGATTTCTATGGGATTTTTCCTCTTAGTTCTTCCCCGCTACCCCTACCCCTACCCCCGAAGGAAAAGGTTTTAGGCAGATCTGCACAACTAATTCCCCATCGCCTGG